TTTTTTTTTTTTTTTTTTTTTTTTGTCTTCTAGATTTAAAGGAATTTTAGACTCACTGAGACTATTTATTCGGTAATCGATCGATCATTGAAATATCATTATTGTAGCTTCATCACACACCCAATCTCGACATTATGCTATTTCCCAAGTTCTGTAATTTGTTTTAAATTTACTCGATAATTTTAGGTTTGTTTTAAACTTTAAATTTAATTTCTCATTATAATGTATAATATATACTACTGCGATAAGTAGTAAAACGTTATAAAATAATTTTTATCTAGTTTTTTTACGATATTTCTTTCATTTCTCTCTCTATTTTCTGTCTTTTTTATGTATTCATTTGCTTCAATATTTTTGAATCCTTTTATGCTTTTTTGTTTCTTTATTTTGTTGAATAGTCACTCTCATTTCGTTAATTTGTAACTCTGTACATATAATTTCAAAATGTGTGTGTTTTGTTGACGTTTTGTCCGTTTAGTTGGTTTGAATGTAGAATGCGAATCACTCTCTAAATATAATGCTTGTATGTGTGTGTATGTTTCTTTCTTGTTTTATTTTTTCTATTCGGAATTTTTTTTCAATTGGTAAACAAAAGCAGATGAAAAATATCAACATGCGTGTATTTTATTTGGTTTCTTCTTGGAAATTGCTATTTCGATTGCAAATATTTTTTTCTTCTCATATATTGTTGTTATTATGTGCTTTCTCTCTTTTTTTAAATGGGAATCAAGCCATTTGATAAAGAAAAATATGCCCCGAATGTGTATACTCTATATGTGAAACATTACATGAAAAATATACGTACGAAATGGATTTTATTATTATTCGAATGACTCTTGTGCGACTTTTTATTGTTTGTTTTGTTGTTTGGTTGAGGGGGGGAAGGCCTTTATATGTATAATATCATAATATCAACATCGTTAAAGCAAAACCGAAAATGATATGGAACCTAAGAATATAATGAGAGGTGATGTGTGAGCGAATAAGAATATAAATAATCGACACAAATCGTTGAAAATAAAAGAAAAATGCAATGCATTTAATCCATTAAACTGAATTGCTTCAAATGTCTTTTTCTTTTTAATTTCTATTTATATAGAAAAAACGGACTAAAAATATATTATCATTCACTGTGTGTATTGTGTCTTTTTTTTGGCTTTTTGCGTTGTTTCAATTTTAGATATATTTTTTTTTCTTTAACGAATTTCTAGAAATGAAATATTACTTATTTGCTCTTTTCAAATCGTTTTTTTTTTTTTTTTTTTTTTTTCAATTTCGAAATCGGGATGAAACAATTGTGTGACTTTAAAAAATGTTTCGCTATTACATCAATTAAGTAACAAATTGATTTGAAAAATGAAAAATATAACACAAACTTCACACTTTTATCGAAAAATGATTAACAACGAATGTGATTTTCATATGCCAATTGGATTTTAAATTTTGTTTGTTGCTCATGGATCATGATCATTCGATTATTAATAATAAAATGTAGTATGTGTTTTTCTTTTCGATATATTGCGCCAATTGAGATAAGAAACAAACACCACTTTGTTCAAAGTTTATTAAATACAATACACTATCAACATATATTCCCGAGTACGGCCGCTCGACCATTCGTAGGACCTTTTGAAATAAATTCAATTTATTTGTAATTTTTTTTTGTAATTTTAAAATTTTTCAGCGTTTTTTTTTTGTTGCTTTTCGATTTGGATTTGCATCCGTCTGTTTGGCCTAACATGTTGGACCGCTTAACACTTATCTGCACATTGAATATAATGTAACTGATATTGCTATATTTGTAATTCGTTTGCATTTGTTTATAGAAGACTTTTTTGGCAAATTTTAAGAAAATGATGTATGAAAACATGAAAATGCTCGGTACTGTTTTTCTGCTTGCTCAAGAATTTGCGTGTCTGATGATCAATTTTGTGCTTTTCGACAGCAGATAAGTGTTCAACAGAAAGTTCGTTTTTTATTTCGAAAATCGTTTAGTTTTCTTTCAATTTTTTTTTTGTTTTACTTGATTGGTGTGCTGGGGGATCCTAGTCGTGGGATGTTCTTCTGTTGATGTGACTGTTTTGGAGAATTTTTTTTTTCATTCGCGAATTGTTTTACTTATGTATTGTGTATGTGTTGAATTTTTTTTGTATTTTGTTTTTGTGATTTTAAAAATTTTCCGTTAGTACATCAATTAGTAACAAATTGATTTTGTGTAAAAACCAATAACAATGATTCCGTCGAAACAGCTACGACACGATGATATGGGGAGCGCTGAGTAAAACGCAAACAGTCGCGATGATGGTGAATAGGGTGAAAATAATAAGGCACAGTCTATCAACGACCATTGCTGCAAATTTCCAATCACGTGCTACGTCATGATCTTCATCTTCTTTTCGTAACTGTGTTTTGAGGGGAGAGAGAGAGAGCGTGCGGTCTCATAAGTTTCAGCACAAACATTTGCGCACTAATGCATTTCAAGATAAAGTCAAACTTACCTGATCGGTAATGAAACGTATTTCCTTCAATATTAGCGACAATTCGTAGTCTGCTGATGACTTCATGCATGTATGTATCGGTGGAATTCCATCCCCAATCGCGTTTTCATCTTCACTAGAACTGCAATGACAGATATTTATTGATTAGAAAATGTAAAACAATTTCATCGAAAGTTTCTTCGAACGGAAGAAGAAAGTTTACCTAAAAACACTGCGGAAATAACTTGAATTTGGTGGCAATGTGCTGCTGCTACCAACGCCACCGCCCGGTAATAATGGTCGACAATTATTGTGCCGGAAATCATCGTTGATATCAAGAACATTAGCTAAAAGTGATTTTGAGCATCGCTGCTTCAATTCGACATCGGTTAGAATATTTAAATGGTTATTTTGTGGAAGATGATGATGGGATTTATTTGGTTGTTCGGAACTATTTGAGCATGGCGTTGGCGGATAATCCATTGGCATCTGTGTACCTCGACCCGGTGGTCGATTCATTCGTAATATTAATGGCAGCCAGTATAAAAACACTAACCGCACCTACAATAAACCAAATTCAAAATAAAAATGTTCAATATTCGACATTTTTTTCCACATTATTTTCTTGTGTCACTTGTCTTACCCAGTCTGACATTTCGTGTGTATCGGCACTCCTATGATGGTAATTAAGAATGAGAATGGTCGACACAACTGATGAGGCAACCATAAACATAATACTATTGAAATATGTTCCTAATAATGGTACAGCCTGTAAAAAAGGAAGAAACAATTGAAAAAATGTGTCTTATTTTGTCAATAATGCGTTGTATTTGCTTACATCACTCGTTGCTGGCATCGTTTCTGCCACCATATTCAAAAACACCGTCAAAGACAACAGGATTGTAACACCTGAGGGGAACAGAGAAAAAAATCACCCATTAATAAAAAAATCAACGACAAAATCGAATGTTTTCTTGAAGACTTACCGAGTGACAATTTTTCCCCCGAATCAGGAGGTAAAGCAAAACCTAACAGTGCCATCGAAGCAATTAACACACACGGTACAATCAAATTAAAAAAATAATAAAGTGTACGGCGACGAATTATAATTGAAAACGTAATATCAATATAAGGTTCTGGGCAGCAATTGTAATATATTTGGTTACGTTTTCCAGGCACACCTATAAACACAAACACAATTCAAATAATTAATTTATTATAAGTCTTTGTATCTGTTGGAATATTTTTATTAATTTTTGTTTGAAAATTCTCAAAGAACAAAAATAACATCAACTCACCTAATAGTTCCCATTCACCATTTGTGACAAAACTACTCAAATCCCCGCCCATTTCATCTTGAAGTTGCAAATCCAATTGAAAACCGTCATAAGTCCAAGAGCCAAATTTCATTTCGCATCGTTGATCATCGAAGGGAAACCATGTGATATCAATTTTACATGTCGACTTAAATATTCCTGTTTGATAAAACAAAAAGAATAAAATTGCCACATTTATTACCATAGCATTGCTTTGGAAAAAGACAAAAAAGCACGTTCATGAAATTTATAATTCATTTAAAATGGAAAGAATGAGTCGATTGTTTAATGAAATTAAATTTGAGATTCGTTAAAATTTATCAAATTTGTGGTTTATTTGAACAAATCTCAAGAGCTTGATGCAAGTCAATCAAAATATTTTGGGAGCCAATACACGTAACAGCATGTTAAATAAATCGGTGGTAATATTAGTCTTGATTAACGTCATTAATCACATAAATGACGTAATTTATTTGCTATTCTCAAAATTAGATTAATGTTCGGCTGTTGAACGGGAGAGCACACACACACCATGCACAAACTTCGTCCTGATGGTCACGATTTGTGTCAAAGCAGAACAAGAGTGAAAGTTTTCACTTTTAATGTAGTATAGAAAATTGAAATCGCATGTATTGACCCTATAACAGTAAAAAAACGTGTTCAAAAACGTGACGATGACGACGATTCGATTACATCTCTCTATATATTTTCTTTTTATTCAATCCCGACTCGCTGCACACGAGTCTTTCGACTGCATACAATAGCAACAACAATAACAATCTAATAATAACAACAACAACAACAACAAAATATGAAATAACAATAAAGCATCATGTGGTGTTTACTGACCGGGTGGTATATACACGCAACTTCCATTATTTCGAACGACTACATTGGTTGGGTATGTGCCATCGAAACCTTCGTCCGCTGAGTTGTACATCAGAACGTCTGGCTTCCATATTCGATGCGGGGGTCTATGAATTTGGCAACGAACAAAATGAAAATGAAACGATATGAAAAAAAAGAAAACAGATTGAAATTTAGATTATGAAGAAACAGAAGAAGAAAAAATTGAAAATGCATCGAATGAAAAACTGTCCACGTTGGCCTTGAACTATGTCTTTAAAACTAGATGCATTATGGAAAATTGCTTACATTCGCAAGTCTTTGACACCGCCAAAGTCCGATGTGTTCCATCTTAAATTCATATCATTCCATTCCTGTTGAGAGAAAAAAAAGTATTGATGTAT